TCCTCCACGCCCGGCACGGACCTACCCCACTGCCCGCGCCGCAGTCGCAAGGTCTGTAACCTGCTGCAGCGATGTGTCAGGAGGCAGCACACCACGCCCTGCACCTTAATTTCTCAGGCCACCTCTCGGGGGGCGGGGCACATGTTGGGGGGCGGGGTGCTACCCTGGTTACAGCTGCCTGCTGAGTGGGCAAGCTTGGCTGATCATGGAAATGTCACACACCTGCCGGATAAATCGCGGAAGATTGGTGGATTTTTACCAATGTTAGTATTCTGGTTGTTACACTATAGTTTTGCCAAAGTTGTTATTGGGAGCATCGTCCTGTACCCCAAAAGGGTTGCGGGTTCGACCCCGCTCGGGGCGTGTAGGGGAGGGTTAGGGTTAGGGTTAGGGTTAGGGTTTCTCTCTCTCCTTCCCCCTCCTCCCTCTGAAATCAATAAAAACATGTCCTCCGGTGAAGGTTTTAATTTTTTTATCATTGGGAGAAGTAGGCAGAGTGTACAAGGGGATCTCTTATTTCTTACAACATGCAGGTGAATCTGCAGTTACCTCACGTGTGTGTGGTTTTGCACCAGCGGCCCCCCGCCTCCCCCACCAGGATCACACACAATTGGGGAAACTCCAGCCCAGCAGGTGATGGAAACCTAAGAACATAAAAGTTGTTGCAGTTAAACCAGGCAGAGATCCTCCTCCTGGGTCCTCAGGTGCCACTGGAGATACAGGGTCCCCCTATTTTTTATTTTTATTTATTTTATTTTTTTAAAATATATTTTATTGATTTTTTTACAGAGAGCCCCTATTTTTTAAAAAAATATTTGTATTGATCTCAGAGAGGAAGGGAGAGGGAGAGATAGAAATATCAATGAGAGGATCACTGATTGGCTGTCCCCCTGCACGCCCCCCACTGGGGATCAAGTCCACAACCTGGCCATATGCCCCTGACCGAACAAACCCAGGACCCTTCAGTCCACAGGCCAGCGCTCTATCCACTGAGCCACACGGGGTAGGGCATGGGTCACCCTGTTTTGCCAGAGGCAGCCAATGGCATGGACATAATGAAGCCCCTGGGTCTGATCTGACCTGTCTCCGAAGGTCCTTCCTGGGAAGGTTGGATGCTCCCACTGAGAACCAGATTGTAGGTTCTTTGGCCTCTTGCCTCCAGATGCAACCACCTGACTGTGGTGGGGACTTGGATAAAGGGAAAGGAATCAAACGCCTGCGTTCGGAGGCTCCCGGTAGATTTCCTGGCGTTCTCAGCCTTTTGAGTCTGAAGGGTAGGGAGACCATGCAGAGGGGGGAGGCCACCTCCCCAGGCAAGGCCTGCCTCACACTGGAAGGCAGTGGGGATCAATGGATAGGTTTCATTTTTTAAAATTTATTTTTCCACAGTATCTGTTAATCGTTTATTTATCAAGAGAACTATTCCTTAGCTCAGATATCCCTGTTTCATATTCAGGAGCACAGCTCAGTGACAAACTTCCATGGAATTCAACCCAAAGAAATTCCCTACATTCCAGGGTCACGTTGCACTCTGAGAGATGCCAGCCTTCTTCATCTCCTCAAACTCTTCCCTGGAATTACAGTTTCTGTGGGAATCTGCAAATGCCTTCTTTCTTGGTTCCCCCACAGCAAACTCACAGAAAGCTGCCACCCCCAGGGACACAACGGTGGTTCCAACAACATGAAATCACAGACTCGTGGCCGGAAGGCCACACATCGGAGGTCTGGTCAAAGCCCTGGAAGTGTCACTGGACAGGGACCTGGCCCTGAGCTAGTCTCTCTAGGGCCAGTGGTTCTGGACTTTAGGAAAAATGTCACACCACCAGTCCAGGTGACTGTGAGGGTATGCTAATTAAGACCGGGACGGGGCAGCCATGGTGAGCGAGGCTGGGAAGTCAGAGAAAAGGGCCTTGGGGACAGGCTTAGGGGCTTAGCCTGGGATGAGCTGCTGCTGGGATGAGCTGCTCCTAAACGCTGAATCCTAGAGCTCAGGGGATGGTGCCGGTGGGGGAAGAAGAGGGAGGGGGAAGGCTAGGGCCTGCTCCCAGGAGGGGATGCACACTGCATCCTTTGGGGCCTTTTCTCTCTCTCTTGCAGGCAGGAATCGTAGGGGAGGGTTACGGCAGAATATTCATCCATTTTCTAGGTGTGTGTGTTGTTTTTTGTTGTTAATCCTCACCCAAGGACATTGATTTTTAGAGAGAATGGAAGCGAGGGAGAGAGACAGAGAAACATCGATGTCTCATGTCGATTGGTTGCATGCCCACGAGTTGAGCCTACAACCTAGGTACATGCCTTTGACCGGATCAAACCTGGGATCGATCCAGGATAGAGCTTTAGTCCATGGGCTGACGCTCTAGCCACTGAGCCAAACCAGCTAGGGCTCCAGTTGTGGTTTCTTTGTTTTGTTTTGTTCACATTCACAGTATTTATTTAAAAATAAAGTCCCCCTATAAGCGGACCACACAGTTCTAACCTGTGCTGTCCAAAAGCCAACTGTACTTCAAAACAGCAATTTGTGCTATTACTCAGAATTATTTCTTTTTTAAAAATCTTAATTGTTGGAAGTATTACATGTTTCCCTATTTCCCCCACTGACCCCTCCACGCCCTGCCCGCCACCCCAGGCCCTTTCCAACCCACTGTCTGCATTCATGGGCCCTGCATTTATGCATACAAGGTCTTTGGTTGATTACCTCCCACCCACCCACCTTCCACCGCATTCCCTCTGAGATTCCGCACTCTGTTCCATGCTTCCAGGTCTCTGCATCCACTCTGCTCATCAGTTTATCTTGTTGATTAGATTCCACATATGAGTGAGATCATGTGATACTTGTCTTTCTCGGACTGACTTATTTCACTTAGCATGATACTCTCCAGGTCTGGATGGAGGTGTTTTTGCTGAGATAAAGGGTGAGGGAGAGGGGTAGACAGCTGAAAGAAGGACAAGGATTTTAGTTTGGGACATGTGAATTTTGAGGAGCCCAGTGGGACATCCAAGTAGAGATGTCCCATAGGCATTTGTCTACACTGGCTGGAAGCTCAGGAGACAAGCCTTGACAAGGAACACAGATCTGGATGTCATCCATGTACAGGTGATACTTCAACTGATGGAAACGGCTGGGCTCACTTGGGAAGGATGTAGGGAGGACACGAGGTAGGGCTGGAATTCTAGGGAATAACTCCCTCCACCTCTCACTCTAAGATGCAAATGGGTAGACAGGAGATGTATCCATAAACATATTTCTGTGAGAGATGTCTGAGATTTTGCTGCCTATGGTTTCTTCTAGGATTTGTATGGTTTCCCAACTTACATTTAGGACTTTTATCCATTTTGAGTTTATTCTTGTGTATGGTGTAAGTTGGTGATCTAGTTTCATTTTTTTGCATGTATCTGTCCAATTTTCTCAGCACCATTTACTGAAGAGACTGTCTTGACTCCATTGTGTGCTCTTGGCTCCTTTGTAACTATTAATAAGCGTAATGTCTTGGGTTGATTTCTGGGTTCTCTATTCTGTTCCATTGACCTATATGCCTGTTCTTGTGTCAGTACCAGCCTATTTTCAGTACAGTGGCTTTGTAGTATAACTTGATATCTGGTATTGTGATCCCTCCAACTTTGTTCTTCTTTCTCAAGATTGCTGCAGCTATTTTGAGTGCTTACCTGTTTACCGGGGTTATATCCTCTTGTTGGATTGATCCCTTGAGTATTATGTAGTGACCTTTGTTGTCTCTTGTGATGGCCTTCATTTTGAAGTTTATTTTGTCAGGTATGAATATTGCTACTCCAGCTTTTTTTTCTTTTCCATTTGTATGGAAAATTTTTTCCATCCCTTCACTCTCATCCTCTGTGAGTCTTTTGTTTTGAAGTGGGTCTCTTGTAGACAACACATAGTAGGGTCATATTTTTGTATCCATTCAGCTATCCTGTGTCTTTTGATTGGGGCATTTGATTGATTTACATTTAAGGTTATTATCGATAGGTACTTATTGCCATTTTAATTCTGTATCCCTAGGTTTCTATTTCTTCTCCTCATTATAGCAGTCCCTTTAGCATTTCTTGTAATGCTGGCTTGGTGGTGATGTTCTCCTTTAGCCTTTTATTTATTTATTTATTTATTTAGTCTGGGAAGCTCTTTATTTCACCATCTATTTTGAATGATAGACTTGCTGGATATAGTAATCTTGGCTTCAGGTTCTTGCTTTCCATTACCTTGAGTACTTCATGCCATTCCCTTCTGGCCTGTAGAGTTTCTGACGAGAAATCAGGTGTCAGCCTTATGGGGGTTTCTCTCTAGGTAATAATTTGCTTTTCTCTTGCTGCCTTTAAGATTCTTTCTTTGTCTTTAATTTTTGGTATTTTAATTATGATGTGTCTGGGCATGGGCCAATTTGAGTTCTTCTTGCTTGGGACTCTCTGTGCCTCCTAAACTTATATGACTTTTACCTTCACCAGGTTAGAGAAGTTTTCTGCCATTATTATTTTCTTAATTTTTATTTTTTAATCTTTATTGTTCAGATTATTACAGTTGTTCCTCTTTTTCCCCCCATAGCGCCCCTCTACCCGGTTCCCACCCCACCTTCTGCCCTTACCCACCCACTGTCCTCATCCATAGGTGTACTATTTTTGTCCGGTCTCTTCCCTCACCCACCACATGCCTTTCCCCCTGAGAATTGTTAGTTCACTCCCTTTCTATGCCCCTGAATCTATTCTAATCACCAGTTTATTCTGTTCATC